ATAGCTGTCGGCGCCATAGCGTCCAGCGCTCCCGTGTTGGCTGAAGTGGACTTCAAAGAGTATTTCGGTGTCGTTAGCGACTCATTGGGAACGGAGTGCTCACAGAATATTCGGTATGGTTTACGGGGAAAGGGATGCAAATAGACTACAATTGGGAATAATTTTTGATTATATTTTAAGGAAAGCCTCGCAAGAATTGGACGAATTGCTGACAACACCGGAAGGGGTGAAAAAAGTGCGACAAATGTTTAATCTTTGCGATACTTTCGACGGCACCGATACCTTAAATGTCGCTTATTTTATATACGATTTGTTGGTATCGATAGCCAGTTCCGTTCAGTACAATATGGATATCGATGGTATTTGTCGGATAATGAATAACCCGAGTGGTGGCACTCCGTTGCAAAGGTATGCCAAACAGCACGGTTATCCAGGCAATAAGCGTGATGATTGCGATGATGTTCAGTACACTGACCTGGTTAAGTCCTTAAATCATACGTCTAAGGGAGGCATTGGAAGTATGTATTATATTGTAACCTTTATTTATGTATTATATTATTATAGCATTTGGTAATTAAGTTATTAACTAGAATATAATTAAATAGTAAATAATTTATTAGCCTGGTGGACATTTAAATAGGTTTTATATATTTTAATCATTTTTGACAAACAGTGAGACAATGGACTTATCAGACGTGCACTGAATTTGGATACTTTATGTCAACTAATGTGAAGGACTGTCTGTTTGGCCACAACATACCCGTCCACTACTACACCCAACAATGTATTGATGTGTTTGGGCCCCAAATCACAGCCCAAACCATACAGAAAGCGGTGGACACCACTAACACCTACTACGGGGGCCGTCAGCCCAATGTGACAAACGTGGTGTTCCCTAACGGCTCACTGGATCCGTGGCACGCCTTGAGTGTACTCCATGACCTCAATAACAGCTCCAAAGCGGTGGTCATCTCAGGTCAGGCCCATTGCGCTGACATGGATTACTCGGACAGAGAGACCCAAAGTCTGAAAGATGCCCACAATTTGATTACAAATGAATTGCAAGAATTTCTCAAATAATTGTATTGTTTGATAGCATTATACTTAATAAACATATTTATTACGAGTAACTCACGAGTACTTCTTATTAGAGTCCAAAGTCTGACAAATTTTTAAAACCCGAACCCTTAGAGTTTTTTTTATAGGAAAGCCTTATTTCGGGAAACCCGTGGGAACCTAAAAACCCCTTAAAATATAAAACTACAAAAATACGATTATTACATGTTTATATTTTTAATAAAAAAGTAACGCTTGATATCATTTTACCTGCTACTTTATATTTAAAAATATTAATTTAAATTATAAACACATTGGTGACCCTGATAATAAAATATTTTAAACTACTAATATATTAAATTATTTTTAGAAGTTAATTAGTTTAAGCATTAAAGTAAAAGCAAATTGATGTCTAGCATTGTATGTTAGTGTAAAAAATAGTGTTCACTTCTGTTAACAATTAAAGCATGTATTGTTTTTTAAATCAGATTTAAATAATTATCAAGTATTTTAAATACAACAAGCTTTAAGTTTAGTGTATTATCATTTATATTAACTTATTTAAACTCATAGTCCTATACTAGTTAATAACTATTGTAAAATGAAATTTGCATTAATTTATACTTAATTCAATAATTAAGAGTTATGTGTACCAGGTTCAATTCCAAGAATTTATATCAGTGATTGTACTAATTATCAAAAATATTTTTTTCTAGCCTCCTGTCACATTAATGATAATGTATCATAATTATATTCTCATATGATTTATACAAAGCTATTATTATTATCTAGCACACAAATTAGTGTAAGAAATCTATTATTTTTATATAACAATTGTACTTTTAAAATTTCATTTTTAACTTTCTTAAAATACAAATAACAGGTACAACGCTTATTAAGAAATTAATGTATATGATATCACTAATTATGTATGATCTTAAAAGTATTGCAAATCTTAATAAAAATTATGATTACAATGATATATAAAGAGCATTTAAGAATTAATTTTAAGCCAAAGAAATTAATTTTATTAATCTTGTACAATTTTATAAAATTAAATATCATTTAAAATGAATTTTTATATTATATTTATTGTAACTTTTCTAAATTGCTACGTGAATGGGGTGCTTACAAATAGGCTGACAATGTTTAGGGGTCGACCCAACGACAAGTATGGTATGGTTAGACCACCCGTTCCTGATCCGGATGAAGTACTTAAGGAAATTAAACCGCAATACTATGACCAGAAACTCAACCATTTTGACGCTAAGGATAACCGCACTTTTAAACAGGTTTTTAGATCACTATTTATTTATTAAATTTCTATTATTAAATATATATTATAATTTAATAATATATAATACTATTCGTACATTATAATTAATAGGAATTTGTGGAATACTATGATTATATTTTTATAATTAGTAAATTATTCTATATTAAACAACCTAGAGTAGAGACTAATATTTTTATGATACTATTTAATAGCTGTATTATACCGATGATTCGTACTACAAAACTGGTGGACCGGTATTTGTGAATATAGGGGGTGAAGGTGAAGCTATTCCTGGTTTTTATAGTTTTATGGTAAAAAGCGCCAAACAATTCGACGCATTTCTGGCAACATTAGAGCACCGGTACTATGGGGAGTCGGAACCGTTTAACGAGACAACCGTTGAAAACCTGAAATACCTGTCCAGTGAACAGGCGTTGGCCGACACGGCCGACTTCATACAGTATTTGACCAAAAAGTTGTCACTTTCAGGCAAAGTGGTTGTGTTTGGGGGCTCTTATGCCGGATCATTGGCCGCCTGTTTCAGGGAGAAGTACCCCAACATAGCTGTCGGTGCCATAGCGTCCAGCGCTCCCGTGTTGGCTGAAGTGGACTTCAAAGAGTATTTCGGTGTCGTTAGCGACTCATTGGGAACGGAGTGCTCACAGAATATT